ACATTCCTAGCAACAATGAGCGCAGAGCCCGTTCCCCCACATTCTCACCAGCACTTGTCTTCCGGTTCTTGCTCCTGTATTTGGGGGCAGTGTGGCCCAGGTGGGTGTCAGCCCCCTCTCTAGCCTCCTTTTTCGACCTCTTCTTTTGACCTCCATCGAGACAGGTTAATTCCGCTTTCTCTGCGCTTAGTCTCTTACCTGCTGTTCTGAATTTTCCATCCTTTTGTTTCTCTGGACTTCATCCTGGAATTTTTCTGCAGACTTACTTTCCTGTTTGATTCCCTCTTCATCTATATCTAGTATGTTTTTAAGTCCATCCATCCAGTACTTAATTTTGGACATTGCATTGTTTGGTTCTTTTAAAAATTTGTGTCACTTTTCGAAAGTAATCACCTCTCCCCCTAATTTTAATCTTGAGTATTTTGTCTTATACATAGTAAGAATTATTCTGCTCCTAATTATTCTCACATGGATCTTCATTTCTGCAAGTTTTTGTTTATAGTTGTCCTGCGTGCCTGATTATCTTTGGTTGTGCTTTGGACATTGTGTTTCAGAATTGTTTATAGAAGTAAATCGAGGACTAAACTAGAATTACGTTCTCTCCATGCAGAAATGATTTGGGCTTTTATCTTCCAGGGGTTTTAGGGCGCCAGCAATCTAATAAAATCATTTCTATCTGCTGTCAGGGATTGGTAGTTTTCTAGGTCACCCAGTTTCTTGAAAATTGGTCTGCAGTACATCTGGAGGCTGTTTTATTTCCAGTTCACTCTCCAAATGTATAGCATTTGGATTTCCAGCCCAAAGTGTAGGGGGTTGTTTGAGGTCTCTGGAATGTATGTTCTAGACCCAGGTGATTATCACAAGTAATTCTCAGCGTCTTGTTGCCCCTTTTCAGTGTATAAACAGCCCTGGAGCAGAGGTAGACTCTTGACTGCGGGCTTCTCTCTCTGGATTTTAGTTTTCTTATGTTTTGTGACCTGGTAGTTTTTCTATGCCTTCTTAGTTCTCCAGTGTTTCCAAGCAGATGTACTTTTATGTGAAATTCCACACTTGTAGTTGTTTTTAGCATGAGGGGTGGCCTGAGTTAGTCAGCCATTATTACCTCCTTTTAAAAGTTACAGGATAAAGGAACTGTGTTAGCCCTTGAACACATCTGTTCCAAACTAATTCATTACTAGTTAGTAAAGTAGGGGTTTATTATCACTTACCATGAATCCAGTATCATGCTGTGCATTATGGAAGTTTCAAGGAAATACCAGGCATGGTATTCCTTACATTCAAGGACATTTAGCTGGGGACACAAACATAAACTTAAAATCAGATAGAATGTTGGAGGAGACAAGGGTCATGCAGGATTGCTGGTTTCGTGAAAACTGTGGATGGCGTGAGGGGCGTGGGCCGAGCCTCCGCCCTTCTCTCCTGGCCGTCTGCGCGTGGCGGGCAGTGCCCCGTCCCTCCCTGCTGTACCTGGCAGCTCTTCTTTGGCTCCTGCACTGTATTGAAGATGCGTCTGAGGCTCTTCTGGGGCTGCCCTCCCTGCCCCCTCCCGAGTCCTCAGCTGTTCACTCTGCCCACCGTTGCCCCTCACTCCTCTCGGCTGGGAGGTCTTTTCCTTCAGTGTGAGGCCAGTTCTTCACCGCTTACTAGCCTTGTGCAGCGCACCCCCTCTGGAAAACCTCCTCTGCCAGCCCAGGCCCTCTTCCCAGGAATCCTAGGCATGGCCTCCACTGATCTGAATCAGTGTTTGACCCCTGCGCTGGCAGTGACCATGGTTTGGGGCTAACAGCTCTCATCTGGGTCACCTGGCCTTTTCCATGCACCAAGCACTATTGCAAGCACTTCATGTGCACACAGTGGCCTTTGCTGTCCCCATTTAACAGGTCAGAAAACTGAGGCACAGAGAGGTTTCACAGCTCCTAAGTAGAGTTGTCTTCTGGGCAATGACTTTATTCATTTCTCCCTTTCTTCAATAGGGAAATGGGAATGTAGGAGAAGGGCCTGAACTGTGAAGATAAACATTTGTGGGTTGCCTCTCCTTTCCTGCCCCTACTGGGGCCATGACTAAGGGTGAAGTAGACAAGTGTTGTGGGGGGGGGGGGGGGGGATGGATTTGTTTTTCTGTGAAGGTGTCTGGGACTGTGCTCTGGCCTCTCCATCCTAGGTCCCTGGGGCTTGCTGCATCCATCAGCCTAGTCTTCCGGAGCAGTCTCTGGACTCCCCCAGTCTGCCTGGGTGGGAATTTTGGGAACATTGCTGCCTAGGATTTAGTCAGGCCTGCTCTGCTCGGACCTGGCAGTAAACCTCCATCCTGGAAAAGTTTAAAGTTTGTTTTCCCAAATTCCACAAGTGGGTAAACTGACATGGGCTGTCATATTTGAAAAGACCATATAGTCCTCTTACATCACAGTCTTGTGGGAATTCTGAAGGGATGTGGTGAGAACTGAGGTCCATTATTAATATTTCTGTAATGAATAGCACTCCCCCCTCCAACCAGTGGTGCGCCCAGACACATGCTTAGGGTTTCATCAGGGAAAAGCCAGTTCCTAATGATTGCGAGTTTGCTCTTTTTTTGAAAAATAAACTTAAAGTTTTAGAACAGTTTTGGATTTACAGAAAAATTGCAAAGATAGTAGAGTCCCCCATGTATCTATCCCATGTCGAGCCTCCCCATCATATATCACTGTCTAACACTAGTATGGTGTATTTGTTGAAGTTAATAAAACAATACTGATAGGTTGTGATTAACTGAAGTCCACAGTTTATTCAGGTCTTTTAAAATTTTATCTAATGTCCTTTATCTATTCCAGGCTGCCATCTAGGATTTGGTGTTTTAGTTGCTAAGTCGTGTGCAGCTCTTTTGCGACCCCCTGGACTGTAGCCCACCAGTCTCTTTTGTCCATGGGATTTCCCAGGCAAGAAGATTGAAGTGGGTTGCCATTTCCTCCTCCAGGGAGTCTTCTCAACCCAGGGATCTAACCTGCATCTCTTGCATTGGCAGGCGTGACCTAAGAAGCTCACACTCTATTTAATTGTCTCCTAGGCTTCTCTTGGCAGGGACAAGGAGGAAGGAAATTTGACTTTCTTTCTTTTTGCTGACTTTGATGGTTTTGAGATGTATTGGTAAGATATTTTGTAGGCTGTCCCTCTATGGGGATCTGATATTGTTATTCGACTGGGCTTGTGGGTCTTCAGACTAAGGATCACAGACCTAAAGCCCCATTTTATCACATACCAAGCATACACACCTCCAGCCTGATTTATGGCTGTTGATGTTGACCTTGAAGATCTGGCTCAGGTACCAGTACCCTTTGTCAAGCTTTTCCCATTGTACCCGTTACTCCCCCTACTCTTTAGCTACTCTCCCTACTCTTTAGGGCTTTGGAAGGAAATGAATGCATGATTCCTCATCTTCTGTAGCTCATAAATGAAGTCATTAAAATGTTTTTTTACTGTTATAGGCTTTTAAAAAAACCTGTCACAAAACAATGTTCTCTTTATACAAAAATTTTAAAAGAGTATGCCCTTTTAATATCTTCAAGTCACCAATCCCTTACAAGGACAGTGTGTGTATTGTGGTTTTTACTGGGCAAATTTTGATTCCTTTGTTTTGAAACAGTGACTTTAAAGCTGAATAGAAAAGCCTGCTGTTTTTACTTTTACTGGTCGCAAAACAAGGGCAGGCAGATGCAAGGACTCATCATATCATTATCTGGGGTAGCTTCAGGATAATTATCATCACCGAAGTTTTGTTAGTTTTGTTCGTTGGTTCTATATAAACACCAGACCGTATCCCAGGTCGTTTCTGAACTATGTTTAATAAAGTTGCACAATGCAAAAGTGCTTCCGACTGAGCAACACACACACACACACACACACACACACACACACACACGGCTTGTAGGGCTCTCGTTTTAACGGTAGAGCGAGGTGGCAAGGGCGAGTTGGGGGGTTAAGAATCACCAGCTACCTGTGTAATTGTAAAAGAGAACACAGGTATTCTAGGAATAAAATAATTAGGCACGAGCAGGTGCCCAGCGCGGGTGTTTTGCTTGATTACGGACTGTATGTAGCCTGCCAGGTTCTCTTGTCCACGGGATTCTCAAGGTTAAGGGTACTGTAGTAGGTTACTATCCTCCTCTCCAATTCTGGCGCCAGAAGAAAGAGACAAAGAAATGAACAGTGGGAGCTTCGGTAGTTTTTCTTGAGGAAGCATGTGGACTGAAAACTCCGAACTCCATTCTGTCAGCTCTAAGCGCCATCTACCGGCTTTTACCAGGACTGTATTCTAGACTTAACTATTCTTAGAACAAACAAGTCGTGGAAAAAAAGATTTTTCTTTTTTCCAAAAATTGCACCGTGATAAAGCCAAGCTTTAGCCGGTGCGGGCGTGTTGCATAGGCGTTAGCAGTACTGCCCTCGCTAAGCGCTCATCGGACAGTAGCGCAACCCCAAGAAAAGGATGGTTGGCAGAACCTTCGCGTGCGGCGCGAGTAGTAGGCGCCAACACTGGGTAGACTTGTGGCGACTAACTCACCAGTGCCGCCGCAGCCGCCCAGCAGCGGGTGATCCTCCGCTGATCACGGCTTCTGAAGCTCGCCACCAACACTTCGTTTTCGGAGGCTCGGAAGGTCGCAAAGAGGCCGTTCAGTGGTACCCAGAAGGCCACGCGCCGGCCGCGAGCTGATTTGCATACGCGCGCCCTGCCGGGGCGGGGCCTCGGCGGGAGCTCCCGCCCTCCTGGGCTGGCGCCGGGAGCCGGCTCGCGGCGTCGGTGTTTGAGTAGCGTCTCCCCGAAGACTCTTTCGTATTAGCTCTGTCAACCGCCCTTTCGGACAAGAGCGGCCCTCTTCCTGATACCCAGCTTCACCCTCGGGTCGGCGCTCGCTCGGGCTCCCGGGCCGAGTGTGAGCCAGAGATGCGGGGTAGCGCCTGCAGCCGGCGGGGGAGGGCGCCAAGCCCCCGATGGGCCGCTGATGAGAGCCCACTGTTTGCCGTTGCAGGTGGTTCTCCTGGGCATGGACATCCTGTCCGCGTTGGTCACCCGGTTGCAGGATCGGTTCAAGGCGCAGATCGGTACAGGTGAGCTCTCCTCCTTTCGTCTCGGCCTTCACCGGGTCTCCCCATACCCTGCACTTGGCTGTACCCGCCCCATAGCCAGCCCTCGTTCAGCCCCCCACCTTTTTTTTCTAGCCCCCTCTCCCAGGCTGGCCCCCACCTCCTCCTGCATCTGTAGATGCTGCATAGCTGCCCTCGCTCGCCTCGTGCGCACGCCTGGATCTGCCGCCTTCGCGCACCTGCTGGCGCCCCCGCCCCCTTTCTATATCTTTCTGCTCTTTCTCCATCTTCCTGTTCTAGGACTAGCTATTTTATTTCTTATGCCAGTTACCATCATGCTGTGCTGCCAACCAAACCCTGTTTGCCTCTGACCCTTCTCTTGGAAAGACATTGCCTTTTCTCTTTGAGAGACTTACAGATCCGACGCAGCTGTATTTTTAAACAGTTTATTGTTGCTATGACCGTTTTCACTTTGGTTGTCAGTGTCATTTCACGTGTGTGGTGAATGATTACTTTTATTTTGAAGGGAAAACAGTGTCAGAATAATGAAATAAAAATAACATCAGGTTTCAAAGTTTAAGAGACGGTTTTATTCCCAATCTCTGGGCTTCCATAACAACACAACAAGCCCTAACCCTTTCCTTTTAGCATTTCTCGTTTCGACAGGTACACATATATTTGTGCATTTCTGTTAACTTTCGGTCAATGTGCATGTTTAGATAAAGTCATGAGCTCTTCCCACTCTGCCATAAACTGTGTATCTGTAAATGAAAACCCCCCTTATTTTTATTAAGTTGATTATTTAATACCAAATTAGATGAATTGTTCAGGATTATTTTCTGTAAAATAAATTTCTAATAGACTTTTAGAAGAAGCAAAGTGAGTTGACCTCTGACATCCAAGTGCCCTTGGAACAGCAGCGATGGCCCACGCAAGCTGTGCAGAGGAAGGGCAGGCAGAGAGCTGCATTCTGTCTGATGAGCATGCAGAGATGTTATGTAAAGTGAAAAGCAGACTGAGCCTTAAGTGTCTTGTTTGTCCACCCCCGAGTAGATGCACCGGGGCCTTTCTCTCTTACCTGGATTTCCTTTTGTGTTGACTCTTTGCTGCCAAGGTCTTCCATTGACATCCATTTTAATAACATTCCAGCAGCTTAAAAACACATTGGGAACTGCCCAGAGGGAGGTGGCATAAGGAAGAAGACAAATAGTGTGTCCATGCAAAGGATTTTTGCAAATTCTCATAGTATCTGCCATGAATTTGAACAGGAGGAGATTTATAGGGGTTGGTGGGTGTAGAGTGATCTGCTTCATTTAGGCCAGGATTTTGAGATATCTTGTTAATTGAAATACCCACAGTTGGTGACCTCGGGCTATCAGAGTAGATTTGATCAAGTTGCATTTTAATTTCCAGTGCTGCCGAGTTTAATAGACAGACTGGGAGATGCTAAAGACTCTGTGAGGGAGCAGGACCAGGCCCTGCTGCTGAAGATCATGGATCAGGCTGCTAATCCCCAGGTGAGACCGGGGTGTTCCTGCAAAGTGTCCGTGGGTTTCGGAGAAACAATTTATGGTATTTCATCTGGCCCTTCTTACCCCCCCAGTGGAATATTTACAGAGGCTATACCTTTGAATAAATTAGTGAACCTAACATGGGTATGGGGTGCTTGGTTTAATTTCTTAGACTCAAGCTCATTTACGTAATTGACTCTTTGTGTCTCTGAAAAGATGCAGCTGTGAACAGCAGCCTGGCTGCAGCCCTGGCCCGTGTCTGCTGTGAGCTGGGCTGCTGGGAGGACAGCCAGGGCTATAGCTCTGTCTTATGGGTCCAGCTGTCCATTGCTGGGGGTGGGGCAAGGTGAGACGGTGTGAGGAGAAGCTTTCCCAGGGCAGGTAAAACCTAGACTAGTCTGGGAAGCAGAGCGGGTTAGAGGGTGGGGTGGGCACAGCTCTTCCGGCCCAGAGAGCAGCGTGAGCAGGTGACCTCTGATAAGTCACCCCGCCTCTGCTTCATTTTCCCCACCCGGGAACTGGGGACAGTTCCACCTCTTTTTCAGGGTTGTCGGGAAAATTAAATGCAATTACATAAAGGAATGTGTTTTGAAAGGTTTTAGCTTGATATAGAAACCTATGTTACCATTTTCCAAAAAGCTCCCCAGAGGGCTGGTGGAGGCGGGGAGGGATATGGCCCCTGTGGTGAGGCCGACGCCCTGGGGGCCCCCCGGCTCGGATGGGCTGCAGCAGCCTCCTCCCCTCCTCTCCCCGATTACCTCTGCCCTCTGCAGTACGTGTGGGACCGGATGCTGGGCGGCTTCAAGCACAAGAACTTCCGCACCCGGGAAGGCACGTGTCTCTGCCTCATGGCCACCCTCAACAGGTAAGTCTGGGTGGGGCCTGAGGGCTTCCTTGGCCAGGCTTTTGTGTTTGTAACTTTTAACTTTGAAATCATCCTATATTTATAGGAAGATGTAGAGAAGCATCCTGGGAGGTGCCTCGCACCCGCCCGCTGTCTTGCGAGTACATGGCACAGGGTCCAGCCCAGGAAGTTGGTGTTGATGTGAGCGTGTTCAGGGTCCTCCAGTGACACACGCGTGTCCTCTGTGTTCTGTGTGTGCCCAGCTCCGTCACGAGTGCAGCTCCAGGTAGCTCGCTGCCACGTTCACGGGCAGCCCAGTACCTCACCCTGGGATGCTCACATTGCTCTTCTAGCCAGTCCCCAAGCTCTGCCAGCCAGTCACCTGGTCTCCAGCTCTGAGATTTTATTAAGAATGTTACATGAATGGAATCACACAGAATGTGACCCTTTGAGATCAACTTTGTTTTTTTTCTCACAGCATAATTCCCTTGAGATTGCATGTATGCTGTGGCTGAACAGTTCATTGCTTTTTACTGCCAAGTAGAATTCCCTGATATAGACGTATCATAATGTATTTAACCATTCACCTGTTGAATACTTCCAGTTCTTGGTTATTACAAATAAAACTGTTATGAATACATGCATATACCAGTTTCTGCCTGAACAGAAGTTATCATTTATTTTGGGTCAGTGCCCGAGAGTGCAATTAACTGCTAGGTCATTTAGCAAGTTTGTTTCAGTTTTTAAGAGAAATTCTTAGCTATTTTCCATAGTTGTCTGTACTGTTATACATTCCCACTACCAGTGTGTGAATGATTTTGTTTCTTCAGAAACTAGCGTTGAATGTTATCACTGTCTTTAATTTTAACCATTTTGATGTGCATGTAGTTTATGTTATTGTGGTTTTGCTTCTTTAATGACTGTTGATGTTTTAAGATTAAAAATTACAGATCACCTTTCCTGATTGTGAAAGTATTACTGTATATGTCACAGAAAATCGGCATGAAGAAGAAAGTGATCCTTGTCTATAATTCTGCTACCTTCAGATAATCACTGTTAACATGTAGCATTTTGTTCCAGACTTTAGAGTTATATTATTTTTTAAAAAACAAAATGGAGAGTGTAATGTTTACATTACTTGGTAGATTTTTTCCCCCTCTTAATGTGCTAGAGTTTAAGGGTCATTAATTATGGCATATGTGTGAAGCTTTTAAAAAATGTTTCTAGCCTTTGATAATAGTTGTTCCCTTATTTATCCTAAGGGAGTAATCCGAGGGTAGTCAAAGAGAACTGTATTGAGAGGGCATGTCTGTGACTGCGATTATGGTGGTGAACAGTTGCCAGTAGCTTAGTTGTTCTCCACCAGGGCAGTGTCCTCTCGGCCGTTCGTTGCAGCCGTTTCATCAAGTGTCTGAACGTCCGTTGTAGCGGAGAACCGCACGCAGTGGGGGAGAGGGAGAGCGTTAGTGGAAGGCTCCAGGGGCCTGCCTGGGAGCGCAGTGAGTCAGGCAGAGTAGGAACCGTCATGGGACAAATGGTGATGCCAGCATGGCGGGACCCGCGGTGGGACAGGCTCGGGCTTCAGCTTGGAGGGACCCCAAGTGCGGGGGGAGGCTTGGGAAAAGCACTCGCAGTCTTGGACTCTGTGCAGAGGGCTTTTGGGTGTGTGTTTATTTTGGAAGCAGGTAAGGGAGGATGAGGAGAGAGTGGTGGGGGTAGGGGAGGGGCCGTCTGTCTTCTGTTTTCACCACCAGTAAAGCATTCCTTTTGTTTTCAGCTCTGGAGCTCATACATTAACACTAAGCAAGATCGTGCCACATATATGTAACCTGCTCGGAGATCCCAACAGCCAGGTGAGTGTGTTTAGCAGGAAAGGTAAAGTGCTGGTCCCCCAGAGCGCAGGCGCGCTTGGTGCTGTGTGGGCGGGACTTTGCTCATCTCTTAGCTCCAGTCTTGTCTGCAGTTGTTGGGTTAGTTGCCCAGTAGTGCCCACTATCTGGGGTCCTGGGTAGACCTGGGAGCCACTCTGCTCTTCTCTCCAGGTCGGGATGGGCCCCCCATTAGCCTGTAAAGTGACATCTTCCAGACCAACCTCCAAGAGAAGGACACTGTGGTCCCCATCTGCGTAGCCAGAGAGGTGGGCGTGGGGGAGGGAGCAGTGGCCGCCTCCCGGAGAGGGGGAGGGGGGCTGTACAGGGCCTGGGGCCCTTCTCGGAGGTGCTGCTTTCTTTGGGTGGTGGCCACGCTGGTGCCTCACGAATGTTTTATGTAAATCAAACAAGAACTGAGAAACAAAGCACCACTCCCCTGTGTCAGGGCGGGCGGGGGGGCGGCGCAGGTGAGCGGGGAGCCCGGCTCAGAGGCACCGTTTCTCTTTAGGTCACTCCTGGGGTCATCAAGGGCTCTGGCTGTCACCTAAGCTCACTCAGCCGCTTAGGTCAAGGGCTTAACATGGGACCGGGGCTTACAGAAGTGCACACTTTGACCCTTGAACAACACGGGTTCAGAGCACACGGGCCCACGTTCAGGCGGGTGTTCATAGGATACACCGCTGCACCGCACGGACCCTGGTAATCTGGACCCAAGGAGGCTGAACCACGCGTGTGTGGAGGGTTTGCGCCCTGACCCCCACATTGTCCAGGGGTCGACTGTACGCTGGGAACAGCACCTGAGTTTCAGCCTTGACTGGCTGCAGCTGAAGGGCACTCCGTGGACAAGTCTGCATTGCTCTCACTGCCCCCGGCTCAGCGCCCAGAGCCTGGGGTCTGAGCGCTTCCTGCCCTCTCCTCCTTCCGTGTCTCTGGGCTTCATCCCAGTTGCATTCCTGCTTCCGTTTTGGGCTCTTCTCTGCTGCCCATTCCTGCTCAGTGCCGGGCTATGCTGGTCTCTCTTGCCTGCACCCACTTTCTTCTTTCTTTTCATCCTCTACCCAACCTTGATTGAGAGCACTTGACTTTGGAAATGTGATGTTCAGATATTTTTATTTTTTGAATCATGCTTTATTGTGCAACATTAATTTAAAAATAACAGAATCTACTTTTTAAGAAGATTCTAACTTATCATATGAGCTGTTTTGCCTTTTCGCCCCCTTAATGTCTTGTCCTCACTTTGTTTTCTGTGGGAAAAATAATTTATGCAGGTCATACTCTGAGGCTGTGACCCCTGCCACATGGTGTCCTGTCCTTCTGTAGAGCAGGAAAGCCAGCCAGGCTGGCTGAGGCGCTTTGTTCCTCACTCAGGTGCTTACCTGGTGGCTCAGATGCTGAAGGGGGAAGGAAATGGCAGCCCACTCCAGTGTTCTTGCCTAGAGAATCCTGTGGACAGAGGAGCCTGGTGGGCTGCTCTCCATAGGGTTGCACAGAGTCGGACATGACTGAAGCGAGTGAGCATGCATGCATGCATGCATTGGAGACAGAAATGGCAACCCACTCCAGTATTCTTGCCTGGAGAATCCCAGGCACAGAGGAGCCTGGTGGGCTGCCGTCTACGGGGTCGCACAGAGTCGGACACGACTGAAGCGACTTAGCAGCAGCAGCAGCAGAGGGTAAAGAATCTGCCGCACTGTGGGAGACCTGGGTTCAGTCCCTGGGTTGGGAAGATCCCGTGGAGGAGGGCATGGCAACCCACTCCAGGATTCTTGCCTGGAGAATCCCCATGGACAGAGGAGCCTGGTGGGCTGCCGTCCATGTCGTCATAAAGAGTCAGACTCAACTAAGTGACTAAGCATAGCACAGGTGCTTACTCTGGTCTGACAGGTGATGTGAGTATTCACACTGGGCCCGGGAGGCTGAATGGGGGTCAGTGAGGCCGGGCTCAGTGGGCAGTCATCAGCCATCTAGAGTAGACAGCATCTGTAGCCAGAGTTTCCCACACTGAGCATCTGAGGAGCCCGTGTGTTCACATCTACCCGAGGAGGCCTTCTCTGCACGTGAGCGAGTGTGTGCGGACTCACAGGCCCTTGGGCCTCAGCTCCACCCCGGGGACGCTGCCTGCTCCCCTGACGCCGGCCCCCTTAGCCCCCCGCTCCTGGGGGTGTCTGTCCATGTGCTTGTGCCCCTGACTTCACTTGGTTTTCTTGTCCGTCTCTGCTGCTGGTCTCCAAACCATCAAGGCCCGGGCTACCCTGTCTCCCCTCTGTCGTCCCAGGATTGCCTTAGGACTGAGCGGGTTCTCCAGGGCTCTGTGTGTGGCTTTCCCCTCTTGGCTGTGGCCGTCTCAGGAGGTAGAGGACATTGTGTCTTCCTGGTGCTGTCTCTGCACTGGGCACCCAGCGTCATGGTCCGCTTCCATGCGGCTCTCAGTCTTCGGGTGGTGGGGGCGTGTGCGTGTGTGTGCATGGGTGTGCGCGCATGTGTGTGTGTGCGCGTGTGTGCGTGCGTGCGTGGGTGTGTGGGTGGGTGGGTGCGTGGAGGCTCTGCGTGGTCCTGCACGTGGCTCCTCGTGTCAGTGGGATTTACCTTTTAGGTGAACCCTGTAGTGTGTGTGTGTGTGTGTGTGTGTGTGTGTGTAAGGCTCTGCGTGGTCCTGCATGTGGCTCCTCGTGTCAGTGGGATTTACCTTTCAGGTGAACCCTGTAGTGTGTGTGTGTGTGTGTGTGTGTGTGTGTGTGTGTGTAAGGCTCTGCGTGGTCCTGCACGTGGCTCCTCGTGTCAGTGGGATTTACCTTTCAGGTGAACCCTGTAGACAGTCCTGCCCCAGAGGATGTGAGTCCTTTGATTGTGGTCTCATTGTACAGTGACCCGCTCCTCAGAGTGACCCACACACGGGCTCTGTGTGGCTTAGGATGCTTTTGGCTGCTGAAAGTAACTCAGAATCACGGGAGCAGCAGGGACAGTGTATTATCCCCTGTGAAGGGGGCCCGAGGGAGGGAGGCCGCAGGGCATGTTAGCAGCTGCGTGATACCCCCGGGCCTGTGCCTGCCTCTCTCTCCTGCCGGGCTGCCCACCCCCTGGGCTTCTCTGCAGGTCTGCCCACAGGCCTGGCACGGGTGCGGTCCAGCTGTGTGTGTGTCCGGCCCTCCTGGCAGATGAAAGTGGGGTGCTCCGCTGTCCCTCCCCTGTTTCAGCGTTTTTGTGTCGAAAGGCCCACACTCAGATAGTGGAGAGAGGGCTGTGCTGTACCCCGGTTGCCGTCACGTAGCCTCAGCAGTGGACCACACGAGGCCAGTTTACTTACATCGCTTTTGCTCCCCCACCCCATCATGTGGAAGCAGAATGTATTGAAGGGATGATTTTGAAGGAAATCTCAGACAGTAGGTTATTTAGTTCTCGACTCCTCCAAAAGGAATGGGCTCCCCACCTAATCTTACCACCACTGTCGCTCCCTGCTCCTTTGGATGGCTCGTTCCCTCGTGTCATTAAACGCCCAGTCCAGTGCACTTCTTGCTGAGCGTCTCCGGTGGTGTAGTGTTCCCTGCGTTTCTCTTTCCCCGAGTGGAGAGACGTTTTCCAGGAGCTTTCCTCAGGTTTCCTGTCGTATCTCGTGGCTGAGAGTTGTGTCTCAGGCCCCTGTGTTAGCCCAGGGTCTGGGGAGGGACAGGAGGATGGGGTGGTTTTACACTCATGAGATGCTGCCTTCCTAGCTGAGGTCAGGGTCCCCTCCTTTGGAGTGTGCGTTGCAGAACAGGCCCTATGTCTTTTGCCTAGGAGGACAGGGCAAAGGCAGCCAGCAGTCTGGAGACACTTGCTCAATAGGGAGTCCCTTGCCAGATTGGAGAAGGAAATGGCAACCCACTCCAGTACTCTTGCCTGCAAAATCCCATGGACAGAGGACCCTGGTAGCTTCCAGTCCATGGGGTTGAAAAGAGTCGGACATGACTGAGCGACTTCACTTTCACTTTCTGCCAGATAGGGAAGGCTCCAGTTCGGCCTGGAAACCTCTGATATGTCTTCATTAGCTGCCCAGCTGGCCTCAGGCAGTGAGGTATCGTGTCTGCAGGCCCCCAGGCCCCGTCTGCTGTCTGTTTTCCTGAGGAGTTTGATCTGCGTCTTCAGAGCCTGAAACCATCTTGCAGAGCCCGAGGACCAGTGCTGATCTCAGCGCCTCTGCAGCTGGCCCTGGGCTGGGCTGGCTGTGCGTGGGTGCCGGGCGGGTGGGAGAATGACGTCCCTGGTGAGGCTTTGACCAGCACCTGAGAGGTGGGTGGGTTGGTGGCTGCGGGGGGTGGGGTGACTTTGGCCTTGCAGGGGTTTCTGGGGCCCTCCTTTTCCCTGAGAGTGAGGTTTCCCCTTGGGTTTCAGGCTGTGTAGGGAGCCTGTTTCCTGCCACTCACGTCTGGGTGGAGTGTAGTGAGGTGGAGTGTAATGAGGTGGAGTGACAGGCACGTCCTGGGGCCCTTGTCTTTTGCTCCCTGAGTGGTCTGAGCTGTTGGGGCTCCTTTGCAAGGTGAGCCTGCGGGTGGCCAGAAGCCAGGCCGGGACCTCCATCGTTGCATGTAGAGGTGAACACTGCTCTGTCCCTTCAGCCTTAATTGACTCGCTTTAGGGACACTTGTCTTCTCAGCTGCGTTACAATACTTGATAGTGCCACGCACAGTCTGTTCTTCTGTGATTCTTGAATCGAGGGTCGTTTCACTGACCCTGTAGCTTCCTGAGCCTGAAGAGGAGTTATTTAAAGGCTAAGGTTAGTCTGAAAGATGTAGATAATACCAGCTCCACCAGCCATTGTTTTGAGTGCTTCATATTCAGGACCACGGGGCACAAACGGCTGGCCTGAACTTGACTTTCAGTCTACAGGTGGCTGCGTGTGTGTGTCCACGCACGTGTCTGCTGGGTGGGTTTTACTTTTGGACTTTGGACAGTTTTACATTTGGGAGATGTGTGTTTCTGAGTGTTCTCCGAAGAGCGAGGATGAGGCAGAGCCGTGCTTGCAGCACCCCAGTGTGCGTGCCCGCATGGCCACGAGCTGGCGGCCTGCTGGTAGCTGCCTGCCTGAGGGCACTCTCCTGCCCTCTGCCCTCAGGGTCCTCTGCCGGGGTCCTGCGTCCTCGTCCCCCCACCCTGCTCTGCCCATCGTGTTCCCTGCCTGGGCCGTGTGGCACCCTAGTTTGGCACCTACTAGGCAGTCAGATATTCGTTGAGTCCATTATTTTTTTTAACTTCAAAGCAACCTTCCAGTTATGAAGGAGGAAATTGAGATTAAAAGACTTTAAATATTTTGTCTAAAGTTATACAGTCTCTAAATGGCCAAGTACGTCCTGAGGGCCACTTTGACTCTAAGGCTAGTAATTTTGTTGATTGATTGACTGAATAAGTGATTCTTTAAATTCTATAGTGCTTTACGGTTTTCAGAAGTTACACAGACAATTTCATACAGTAGTCCCATAATAACCCCCTTTCCGCCCTGTATTGCCCCTGCCCCCTTCCCGCTCCTCGCCGGCAACCGCTAGTGTGTTTTCTCTATGCGAATGTTTTTTTTTTTTTTATTCACTAGTTTGTTGTGTTTTTTAGATTCCACATATTAGTGATCAGTATTTGCCTTTCTCTGTCTGACTTATTCCACTTAGAAGGCTAGTCGTTTTTCCACTAAATCCCTTAAACTCTTTACAGCCCGGACTTGTACGTAGCAGACAGGATATTGACCGCTCTTTAAAGAGTTTCCGCAGCGTGGTCTGCTCTGGCTCTGAGCGGGCATCATGACTAGAAAGCAGGCAGTGGCGAGGCGCCTGTCATTGCTTCAGCCAGTGGCATTGAGTGCTCTTGTTAGGTGTGCGGGTCTCAATGTGAAAATGCTTACTGGCATCAGAAATTATTTCCTTTCCAAAGTAATCTGGTAATCTCTGTTATTCAGCTCAGGCTACCATGGCAGAATACCATAGACGGGGAGGCTTGAACAAGTGAAACTTGTTTCTGGCAGTCCTGGATCAGGGTGCCAGTACGGCTAGCTCTGGTGAGGGTTCTCATCCCATTTTGCAGACAGAGAGCTCTCTTATAAAGATAGCCCTCCTGTCGTATCAGGCCCACTCTTATGACCTCATTTAACCTGAATTACCTTATTCACCGGCCCTGTCTCTGTCTACAGTCATGTTGGGTTTCAACAGAGGAATTTTTTTCGGGGGCTGGGGGTGTCACATACACAATTTGGTACATAGCATCAGGTTTTAGGTGAGAAGATAGTAAGAACCTGGAATTTGCCTATCTATCACAAGGGAAAAAATGTGAGTAAAATTACCTGTCATGCACTACTGTTAATCATAGGGTGATTTGCAATGTTCAGGATTGTACATTGTATTCCTGCTTCCTTCTCTCATTCACTCTCTGTTTCTTTGATTTCATTGCTTGAGACCAGATCTGGAATCATGTTGTTCTCCTCTCTGTGCCTGCTCTCCTCCCCTGGGTACCCCCCGCAGGCTGGCCTTGAATTCATTGGATTTAAAAATTTTTTTCTTTCCACCTTTTTTACTGGCAGAATTTTAGATCTGTAGAAAAATGGAAAGGGTAGTACAGTGAACAGCCATATTTACCATTTAACATTTTGTCATATTTGTTTTATAACTCAACATGGATACTTATGCACACATATACACACACATACACAGAAAAATACTTTTTATTCTTGAGCCATTTGAAAGTATCTATCATACATCTTTTTACTCCTATATAATAACAGAGATATTTTTATATAATCACATGTTGTTTTCACATCTGAGAAATTTAACATTGATAGACTATTAAGTTAGGGCAAAAGTAACTAGGGTCAAACACATCTTTATTAATCAGAATAGGAACCATTACAATCAACATACTTTGCCAATGAGAAGTAAGTTTGTTTATTCCTGTAGCATAAAAATCTATGCTTTGGGATTCAACAAACTCTTGGAAAGCATTTCCTATCTCCTTCTGGTTTGTAAATGTTTTCCCTGCAAAAAGTTGTAGAGATGCTTGAAGAGGTGGTAGTTGGTTGGTGAGAGGTCAGGTGAACATGGTGGATGAGGCAAAACTTCATAGCCCAATTTGATCAACTTTTGAAGCTTTGGTTTTGCAACATGTGATCAGGCGTTGTTGTGGAGAAGACCTGGGCCCATTCTGTTGACCCACTCTAGCTGCAGGCATTGCAGTTTCCAGTGCATTTCCTCAATCTGCTGAGCATACTGCTCAGATGTAATGGTTTCACTGGAATTCAGAAAGCTGTAGTGGATCACACGGGCAGGAGACCACCGAACAGTGACCATGCGCTTTTTTTGGCGCAGGTCTGGCTTTGGGAAGTGCTTTGGAGCTTCTCAGGCCAGCCGCTGAGCTGGTCATTGGCAGTTGTATAAAATCCACTTTTAATTGCCTGCCAGGCTCCTCTGTCCATGGGATTCTCTAAGCAAGAATACTGGAGTGGGTTGCCATTTTATTCTCCAGGGGTTTAATTGCACATCACAATCCAATTGAGAAATGGTTTGTTGTCGTATAGAATAGGAGAGGACGACAATTCAAAACAACAGTGTTTTTTTTTTTAAATTTTCGGTCAGCTCATGAGGCACCCACTTATCGAGCTTTTCCACCTTTCCAAGTTGCTTCAAATGCTGAGTGATCGTAGAATTATCAGCGTTGAGTTCTGTGGCAACTTCTCCCGTAGTTGTAAGAGGATCGGCTTCGATGATTGGTGTCAGTTAGTTGTTGTCGACTTCCAGGGCCGGCTGCTGCACTCCTCATCTGCATGGCTCTTGTCTCCTTTGCAGAACTTCTTGAAACACCACTGCACTGTATGTTCATTAGCAGTTCCTGGGCCAAATGTGTTGTTGAAGTTGCAAGTTGTCTGCACTGTTTTAGGACCCATTTTGAACTCAAATAAAAAATCACTCAAATTTACTTTTTGTGTAACATCATTTATATAGTCTAAAATAAATATAAATAACATGTAATAAGTCATTAGCAATAAAAAAATGAGAAATGTGCATTAAAATGATGTATAGCACAACCACATTTATTTAAGAATGTATTCCAGTATCAAATGGCAAAGTTCAACAATCCAAAATCCCAGTTACTTTTGCACCAGCCTTATTCAAATTCCCCCATTTTCTGTTCTGTTTTGTTTTTTAATAACGTTCATCCTGTCTCTGGAGCCTTATTTATCTGGACCTCCCCGCGCACCCCCCGTGTTTGGCCAGACTGCTGCCTTGAGCTTCCTGAAGCTTATACCATGCTGCTCCGCCTTCACGCCTCTGCACTGGCTGGTTACCTTGTTTGGAGCCTGTCTCATCCCATTTCTTCCTGCTGAAAAGCTGTGTTTCTAAGCACATTTTAAGTGGTTCCTTCCTCGTCCATAAAATGTTTCTTGGTATCCTCAGGTGTGCTCACTCCCCTCTACTGTGTGAGCTCTCTGTTCTCTTTTATATAACGTTTATTACATCCTGTCCTGTATTAAATGTAGAATTTATGGACTTTTTTCCCCATCTACCCTTTAGAACTTTGCACTTCTTGAATACAGGTGCTTTGTAACCTTTACCACACTTTTCTGTTGCTAAGTATTTAATTGGCCTACATCCAGAATGCTTTACATGGTGTTTTATTTTTAGAATGATTCACTTATTTATAGTGTTTTCCACTTTGGTCTGAAATTTCTAGTTTTCAGACATCATCTTAAAGGATGAAAAGAACTGAGGGGTGTAGACTTTAACATGGACACAGGGTTGGGATCTGAGTTTTTTGTGCTCTCTGGAGCTGTGTCCACAGAGTCAGAGCTGTCACGCCACGGCTCTGCCCCATGCCGTGTCTCGCAGGGGTTGTGTTCAGAGTCCCGTTGGTGAGTGGGTGATGAACTTGGGGTGTTGGATAGCCTGTTGTGTCCGCAGCAGGAAGCACTGGGAATGACACAGAGCAGCTGTAAGATCTCTTCTTTTACATCTAGGTTCGAGATGCAGCAATAAACAGCTTAGTGGAAATTTACAGACATGTAGGAGAACGTGTGAGGGCAGATCTCAGTAAAAAAGGATTGCCACAGTCCCGGTGAGTTCAGACTTTTTTCCTTTCTCTTGCTCTTTCCCCCCCTCTTTCTCAGTTAACATCCTGGTTTGCACTGCTTGTTTTGTTATGGGGTAATGTTTTTGAAAGACGACATGGTGAGAAGATTGGTGGATGGTGATCTTGTCCAGATCACGCCTCAGGGGTCCCCTTTCATTCCACTTGCTCAAAAGTAAGACTTTCTCACCCAGACATCTGACCTGGTCCCATGCCACTGACTGTTTTTAGAAGCATATTTAAAAGTGATTAGTGTTGAAAGATTTTGCATTCTCTGGGTTCATGTGGTTCTACATTTCGTATGTACATGGAACCTGGTATCTTGGGGGCTTGGAGTGTATTTGTTTGAATGAAGCCTTTCCCAGATAAATCTGGATAGAAATATATAAGTGATAATTCTGGACGTCTTTGAGATGGTAGCTTTCTGGCTAGTAATGCCAGTTTCAACATGCAAGTCTCCAGTGCAAGGAGATTAGTGTCTTACCATATCCAGAGTCCCCTTGAGTCCACAGATGTTTTCTGTTGTCAAACTTTTAAAAATAACGAAAATCAGTTATCTATGATTTTTAACTATGATGTAGAAATTTTATACCAAAGGAATTTTAAACCTTTTGACTGTCTAATTGGGAGAAGGTAATATGAAAACCCTGGGAAGTTAGGCCTGGATGGGACTCTCCAAGTGGTTTGTCTGGGCCTGTTATTGTGCCCATGGGGACAGCTGTGGCCCGGTGACAGGAAGTGACTGGAGACATGACCCAGCTAGAAAGTCAGGGCTCAGGCTGATATCCTGTGCTTCATTTTCTCTATCCAGTCCACAGATGAGCTTGGAGAGTATTGGGCATCTCCACCTGGGGCAGAATGTTGAGATACACAGGAGCCATCTGTCTTGACGCCCCTCAGTTGGGTGTGATGAAAGTGGGCGACTGGCCCTGCAGTCAGGATGCTGGTGGCACTTGAGGGGGGCAGCCTTCCTTGTCGAGTGTCACATCTGACCCCATCATGGTCCCTGGGCCTTTGCTTTTTTTTTTTAAAGCACTGCAGTATTTTATAACAGTAGAAAATGCTGGGGATACTCGGTACTAGCAGACAGCGTGATCCGTGAGCCCTGGGGGCGGGGTCAGCAGTTGGTGTGGTGGACGCCAGCCGTTTACACTGAAGCCTTTCGGTGGACAGGGTCATCGGACGAGAATACAGCCACTCTTCATGTTTTTTACGTGAAGGTAACCTGTGAGAGCAGGGGTTTTTAACTCTGGCATCTTACGAACCTCCACCTCGTAGTCTCTGAATATATGCTGAGAGCACTCGGGAGGGAGGTGAGCTACCGAGGCCTGCGCGGCTCTCAGGGAAGGCTGGAGGCTGCAGGGAAGCAGGGGCTGCCTGCTGATGACGTCACCGTCACTGCTGGGCCGTGACGGCCTCTCCTGCCCGAGGCCTGCCGTCACCTCGCTGAGTGCCTCGTGGCGAGCCTAGGCCATGGCCGGCCCGTCTTCCCCGTGGGATGCCTGTGTCACGTTCAGCAGTCGCTACAGCAGCTGACAGCTGGGCACGTGACGTGGTGAAACTGAGGTCTAGCGAGGTGGGCGCAGAGGGCGAGTCACGCTGCAGGCCGAGGCATCCTTACATAGCCTGCATGTGGGGTCGGCCTGGCTCTGCCTGGACACTAGACTGCGGGGCTGCCCATCATGTCCACAGAGCGGGGTCGGGAGCCTGGCCCGGGTGTGGCTGCCCACCTGCCTTCCTGTTGGGACTCTGGCATTTGTGGAGCCTTGGGTGGTGCTGGTTGAACAGCCCCCACAAACCGTGGCCCTCAGGCTTAATGAGCTTGCCTAGTGCCAGCATTCCGTGCGTCTTGTCCCGGCTTGTGGCTGGGAATTGAGCATGTCCTGTGTGACTCCACCAGGAGAAACTCCAGGAATCTCGAGTCTAGTTTCCTGTGGTCCTCACCCCTTTGCTGATTTTCCTTTCTGTCCTTTTATATTGTAATAATCACGGCTGTCGGTGTGACTGTGCCTGAGTCCTCCCAGTGAGTCGTGAAACCTGGGCTGGTCTTAGGGACCCCACAGAGTGAGTGAGGTAAGGTCCTGGAGCTGGGGCTAGAGCCTTCGCTTGCAGACTCCCAGTCATGGTTTTTTCCCCACTGTCAACTCTACTCCCTTTAAAAAAAGAAAAGATTAAAAAGAAGTAACAGAAGAGTTAGTGCCCCTGTGATTAGGAATGCATTTCCACTGTCTCATGTTAGCTGAAATCCTTCCTCAAATTCTGGACCAAAAGGACAGGGTAACCTAAGGAAGTGACCACAGCCTTACAGCCGTTGTCATAAACTGGCAGACACGGCGCTTGAAGAACTCAGCTGTTAGTTCTTTATGAAACTTGACCGGAAGAATCGGAAACCTTATTTATCTTTTATTACAAGACAGTTACATAAAACCTTGCACTGTGAGGGTCAGAAGCTCTGACTGTCACCTTAATTTTGATGGGGAGGAGTCCAGATAGACTAGGTCATAGAAAGAATCTCCTTCCGTCATTTGGAAAGTTCAGTATCTGCTCTGTGTGGCTCCAAGTGGCTGACTAGAACACCTTGAATATCCTAGACTTTTTACATCTTTATATAGGTTTTTTGTTGTTACGTGAGCATAGCAGAGTCTTTAGCTTGAAAGATTCCATAGCACTAACAAAATATTGTGGAATTTGCCTAATGTTTTCTAAAACTTGCCTTTAGTCCTGGGATAGAAAATGCTGTCCTCTAGCCGCTGTCCTTGGCAATCTAATGGTTCAGAATCCACGTGTCCATTTTTCAGGACACAATTGAACCTGGTTGGGGAACTAGGGTCCCACATGCCTGTGCACCGCAGGTGAAAAAGACAATGTTGTCTTATGAGTTTGTTCTCAACAAGCTTGAAAACTTGAGTGAGTACTGTGTTTGAGAAGATTAATTGTGTCTCTAGGAAATAAAATACATGATGAAAAAGAATGCCTTTCTCACATCAGCTAACTGATGTAGTAAGAGTGATCTGATTTAGGCAGCAGTTTTCTTTGCCCATTTCACAAAGGAGAGAGAGTTGCGTATTCTTCAGCTTCACTTTGAAGGAGCTAGAATCATCCTTTGGGGCCATGTGTTCTATTGTTATTTGAGTATGTCATCTGTTGCTAAAGTCACTTTCATCCAGAGGAGAGAGTGGCGATGTGCAGCCCAATCTCCATCTTAGAAGGCGTCCTCTATGTGGGGTCTCAGCACAGCTGAGCTGTGAACGTCAGTCAGCATAGTATTTGGGCATGTTCTGTTGTTTTACATGTATTGTTTTCACAGTTCACACACATGATGTGTTCAGAAACCGAGTACTGCACGATTCACTTCTCACTGTCCGTTTTTAAGAGGCCATATCGCTGTAGGATATTTGTGAGATGTCTCTGGATCTCAGGAAAATGTCGGTAGATTCCTGTCACTTACTCTCCAAGGCTTCCCTTCACAGACAGATGCTGTCTGCCCACGTGGACACTCACTGTCACCCCACCGTATATGCCAGAAAATATTTCTATTCCGTATGGTATGATTTAGTTTGTGAGGCTTTGATAGAAAGACTGTTGGTGTGAAGTTTCTTCTGGAACCACCATTTGGGAACCAGGCTCCTGAGACAGCAGCTGCTTCAAGTCTGAGGATAGTGGTAAGCTATAGTTGTAGGCTCTAGATAGAGCTGAAACTTGTCATTGAACACATTGTAGCTCTTCAGTGAACTTGGTGAGCCTGCAGTTTTGAATATAGCTCTCATAGTATTTGTTTATAAAAAAACTTGCAAACATTCACTAGACATTATTATCTAATGATTGTATTGTTAAGGGGAGAATTGAAGCTTTCTTATTTTTGGTTTTAATTTGCTTGCCAAAACTTTGGTGTTAACAGGGAGGTCCCAGGGCAAAAACAGATGAGAAATGTGCTCGGTAACAGCCCTGTTGTTTCTTTTTTTTTTTTTTAATTTGTTTTTGGCTGCACTGGGTCTGTGTTGCCACTTTCTCTAGTTGTGGAGAGTGGGACTGCTCTGCAGCTGAAGCGCTCAGGTTTCTTATTGTGGTGGTCCCTCTTGTTGGAAAGCATGCGCTCTCGAACATGGCCTCCCAGCTGCGGCTCACAGGCTTCCTTGCTCTGCAGCGTGTGGGGTCTTCCCGGACCCAGGATCAAACCCGTGCTCCTCGCATTCATAGGCGGATTCTTAAGCCCTCGAGCCCTAGTGAAGTCCACCCCTCTCATTTTCTGTAAGTCATTCATCCAGGGAGGGTGACTAGATTCATAAGGTACTTGGGGAAAAGGGCAGTCTCTTACCCCTTCTGCCGCTCCCCAGACTCTTGCCACTGTTTTCCTGACTCTCGTATCTGGTGCTCTGTCTGGGTGCTGCGCGTGTCCTGCTATCTCTCAGCTTTTTGTTGCTCTTAAGACCTTTACTTCACACTATGAAGCGTGAATTTCAGTTCTGTCCTCCTGCCCGCCCTCAGGTATACTTTCCCTCCCCACATCCACCAGACCTAGTCATGCTCTCATGTCATTAGGACACCCTAATGTGTCCTAATGCACGCCACTCACAGCTCACTGTTCGTGCTTGGCGCGCGGGCCCTGCCCGCCGCCCCCGCCGCCCCCCGGCTCTGTCTGCCTCTGGCCTGTGCGGTTGTCTGCATTACCCTCCCCACATCCACCGGACCTAGTCATGCTCTCATGTCATTAGGACACCCTAATGTGTCCTAATGCACGCCACTCACAGCTCACTGTGCTTGGCACGCGGGCCCTGCCCGCCGCCCCCGCCGCCCCCTGGCTCTGTCTGTCTCTGGCCTGTGCGGTTGTCTGCATTACCCTCCCCACATCCACCTTGTTCGTGCTTGGCGCGCGGGCCCTGCCCGCCGCCCCCTGGCTCTGTCTGTCTCTGGCCTGTGCGGTTGTCTGCATTACCCTCCCCACATCCACCAGACCTAGTCATGCTCTCATGTCATTAGGACACCGTTTT